CAAGCTGGGACCCCTCAGGTCGCTGCTCAGATCCTCCTGCTGGCCACAGCCTCTTGTATTGGGTCCTGGAGTCCAGCAGGATGCCTCTCTTGCTGGCCACACACCGTGCTGCTGAGCGTCCCACTGCTGCCTGCAGGTCCTGCTCCTTCAGGCTCTTCTGGGGCAACTGCTTCCGCCACACTGGCTCAGCTCTTCAAAGCTCCTTCCTCATAGTCCCTCACTGGTCTCCTCCTGAGTCAGCCATGCTGCCCCTTTTATCCCCCTCCAGGTGACCCAAGGGGCCAATCAGGGGACATGAGGGGTGAATCTCTGGGCCTGATTGGTAAGGAAAGGGAATCCCAAGTCCTCCAATCATCTTTTGCCCTTTCAAAACTCCTGGGCTAGGTCACTGCCAGCTAGCCCGTCACAACTCCATATACTGAGAAGCAATTTCTAACACATTGTAATTTAAGCAAAAAAAAATCTATTCAAACATCAGTTTTTATTTTCATACAATCCGTTTTAACTCCATGTGGAAAAAGTCAAAGTCATTCCAGGTACCCGTGATTAGCAGATGCTTGCAGCCCAGTTAATCTCTTTTTGCTGGCTAAGTCTGTGACTGTACATAAGGTTGTTTGTTGAAAAACATTCATGAATAATGTCCTTGCCTACGCAGTGCATTTTAAGAGCTGTCAGGTTGCTATACTTCTAAAGGCCCTTCTATAGGCCTTGTTCACCCAGAACTCTTCTAACATGGTTTATTTAAATTGTAGTAAGCATTACCGTCCCAAATTAAAAGAACATGTTCTGAGAAGTTCCACAGTAATGTTTACTACAATCTCGAATGGGATCTCTAGACCAGGGCTTCTAGCCCTTGAACAGTGATGTTTAGAGATTTCCCGGTTGTTACATTGTCTTCTATTGATTTCTTCCGTTGGTTGATCTGCGGTTTCCCTAGGTGTTAATTGCTGTCTGCTACTGTGTTATGCATTCAATCACTGATTCACTCGCTCTTTCAGGGGCCGCCTGATACAGGGAAGCGGCAGTTTGACTCCTGCCCTTGTTAACATTGTTACTAAACACATTTACAGTTGAAAGGTGAGGAGTATAAAATATACGCTACAAATGTAATGCCATGGCACACAAATAGATAAAAATACCAAAATACAAGGGGAGATACAAAATGCACACATACAAATTTTAAAACACAATTCCTTATCTTAAAGTGAAAGAAAGAAGAAGGAAGAAAAGGTAGAAGAGGAAAAACATATCCAAGGAGGGGAGAGCAACTGCAGGCAAGAGGAAAAGGGGGCTTTCTGCTACAAGCTGATTATGGATCCCAGTCTGGGGACCACAAGTTGCTCGTATTATCTCCATGGAGTGGTCAGACAATGGCATAAAATGTACTACTTAATATGATCTAGAGATATTCCTCCCAGGAAAAGTCTTAAGTTTGTTATGATATGATCTCATTTAACAGGTGTTTTAGTGTCTGAACACTTGAGCGCTTACATTTTAAGAGCAGTTAACACATCCTACATGTAAGGTGTGACAGGGTCCTATTACTATATCTGTTTCCTTGTCCTCCATCTAGCTACTGTGTTTGCTAGTTCTTGTGAATACACTGCAAATTAAAACAAAAAACAAGGAGGGAAAGAAACTTGTTAAACAATGAAAGAGAATGTTGCCAAGAAAAATCCTAGCCTGTCATCTTTATATTCAGTTCAAAATTGGGTGTGTGCATGTGTAGGCAAAATACGTGTGAGAGAAGGAACTTTTGCAAAGCTGTTCAGTTACATCGCCTGGCTTATGATGAGATCTGTAATTAATGACAGCAGGGGAACATCTTATTTCACTTCCAGCCTTGGGACTCATCTCCTGCCATCCAATTGCCCAAGTCATTTTTGAACCGATAATTGAGCTTCAGTGCTAGAATAAGATTTTTCTCCCTTGCTAATGTTATGAGGATCAAGTGTAAACGTTATTTTTTGGCTCCAGCTAAGCTAATCTATCAACCTACGCATTCTGCTTGCCCAGGCAGACTCTGCATTAGACAAACTGAACTGTTTAGAAATGAACCAAGCAAGTTGAAAACAGTTCAGACTATCTTGCTAGGGTGAGAGAGAGAGAGAGAGAGAGAGAGAGGAAAAAAAGAAAAAAAAACTTTCCAAGCATCAAGAGCTTTTCAGCCATATGTGTGTAAAAAATTTCTTTCCAAATCACGTGACATGAGGAAGAGGCTCAAATCCATTACACAATAATGAAAATATGCCGTTGGCAAAGTTAAGCCAAAACCTGAAGTGCTGCAGGAAGCTGGGAATACAAGGAAAAAAGAATCAAACTTAAAAAAAGTTGGAGAACTTTAAATTTCAGGCTATCTCAGAAGGAAGCTGTTTGCAACAATAACTGGGATTCTGGCTACACTGTGTGACAGTGATTTGCAGTGGAACATCTGCTTAAGATTCAGTAGGTTTTCCAGTGCATGTCAAGATCTTACTGAAGAGATTAGTCCTGGTGAGTAGAATTTCCTTTTTTTCTCCCCTCCCTTAGCCTTAACTTTGAAAAACGTACCAAATAAGGTCTAAATTTTTGTGCACTTAGATTTCTGGGATATGCAAAGGAATCCTTAATAGCAACAGACTCAAAAGAAATAATCCAGTGGGGAAGAGCTCATCATAGACATTTGTTTGGAGCAGTCAACTGCTTCAGTTTCAACTGCAACCTTTTCCTCCGTTTTGCCATTGGTGACTTGTATAACAACATTTTGTACACAAAACTAGTCAAAGATTGCCACAGGTACCAGCTGTTGGCTTAACGGCACAGACAGTGATGCAATTCCAACTACAAAAAAAACTTCTCCTTTTTCAGTGTGTAAGGTTGACAGCATTTTGCCTAACAGGCAATGGGCCAGATTCATTCCTGGTGTAACTCTAGTGATCTTCATGGCTGTACAGTACTAAAAATTAAATGCATCCATTTTAAAACTGCATTATTACTAAACAATGCACTTCGTTTAAAACCAAATAATTGATTAGCTTTTTGCAGATAAACCTTGCCTTGCCATTTCTATTAGTGTGATACTATAATACAATTAGCAGTGGAAAAGATTATGATCAAAGAAAAATCACTTGCTTTAAGAACACTGGAACTGTAATTATTCTGTGGGGCTCCAAAGGTGGGAGGCTGTAGTTTTATTTAATCAATGTGTACAGGAAACATCAGGGTGAAATGAAAAATCAAATCTTTTCACTCAGAAAACTGCTACAGGAAGCATCTGAAGGCATGAAGAAGGAAAATATCATCAGTTTAGGGAGTGCAAGAATTGATCCAGGCAGTCAATATTCAGGCAATAGAGAATATTCTTTCTTCCTCCCCCTCCCCGCTCATACACACAAAACCAGATTATTTTTGTGGACTTCCTTGCTGGAAAATTACTACTGAATCAAGTCATTCATCACTGCCTGACCACCCTTATAGATGGATAAATACTGCTTGCAATTGTATGATTTTACATTTGCAAAGCAGTTGAGATGTAATAAGGAATGTATACTACGCAATAACAGAAAGGAACAGCTGTTCTTCTGTGCCTGGTGCTAAGTGCCATGGCCAAAACCTTTCCTTGCCCAGATCCTGTTTTAATTTCCTTTAATTTATTTTAAATTATATATGGTATCTGATTTCCTAACTGTAAAATTGCTCAGAAAACTCAGTATGAACAAGATTCTGGGCTGTTATAGTGGGAATCTTCTCTAGTAAGGGAATTTGTAGAAGCAAACTAAAACAAATAGATTTTCAGAGTAAATAAAGCAGAATACCTCGGGTGGCTGGGTTGGATACATGGGTGGGGGTGGGGGTGGGGGCAGGTTATACATGCAAACCATGCTAGAAGAGCATGGGTTTGTTCCCTTGTTAGCAGGTAGTCCACATGAGGTAGTTTGCAAGTCATCCATTACATTTACTAGAGGAACCTGTCTTTCAGCTCAGATAACTCCCAGCCCAACTAATGGTAATTTATGATTTTAACCCTGAAAATTCAGGGTTCAAATTCTATGGAATGTCCTACGAACAGAAATGTATTGACTCCCTGGGAACAGAGAGACCACTGGAGAAAAAGAAGCTCCTCTTCCAGTTCCTCTGGAACGAAACAGCTCCGTCTGAGTTTGAAGCTCCTCTTCCAGCTCAGCTTCTCCCTCTCCACCCCCTACTCCAATGTCTTGAGGACTCATGGGTTCACAAAGAATCCTCATGAAAGGAAGACGGTCACCAAAACTGAACTAGTAGGTGGGAGCCACATTTTATTTCAGTGTTTCATCGTGTATAATCAACAGAAATACTAGAACCAGCCCAGAAAACAGGGGCATTCCCACTTTTAGGGCCACATCGTCTCCCCGACTTGGAGAGAGCATTTGTTACATATTTTTATAGCAGAAGCTATGACAAAGTGGGCACATCTACACAAGATACTAACTGTGCAATAGCATAGCATTGCGCAGTAGCGTGTTGGACAAAACCTGTACTAATATGCTACTGCACAGTAGTATTAGGCTACTGTGCAGTAAGCATCACTAAAAAGCCATGTGGTGGTGCTACTGTGCAGTAGCGCAAGTTATTGCATATTGGTTTAGTACTTGGTTAACCAACCAAGTACAAAACTTAATGTGCAGTAACTATGGCACATTAATGACCATATAGACACATTGATTAAGAAAAAAAAATGAAACAATCCTTTAGGACTCGATCTCTGCATAGAACATGATTACAAATATGCAGCGCTCTGCATATCTGCTGTATAACGGTGCTCCAGAACCTAACTGTTACAGGCTGTGTGAAAGAACATCATACAAAGGATTCTCCCTGAGGGTATGGGTTTTTCATTATTCCGGAAATTCTCCTGCATCAGCCCTGAGAGGTCTGGGAACTGTAATGCCATCAAGGGGAAAACAACCTCCTGTCCAGATCTGCCTTTTCCTAGAAATGTACAGAGGACCTATACTTCCACTGCAGCCCTTACTGCCTAGTGGACCATCCCTTTCTTTGCTTCTTAGCCCAGGATTGAGCCAAGTGCTACCAAGTCTATGGAGAGGAAGTCCTGACTCCACTCCTCCCCTCCCCTCCACTCCCCTCCCCTCCAAACCCCAGCCCACCCCACCCTGCACGTGGATCCAACCCTATGCAGAGAGGGCTTCTGGGTTCAAAAAGGTAGGGGGGATTTTGCCACAGATCCTTCAATGCAAATGCACAAATTGGACTTGGATACAAATCATCTGTAACCATTACTGGATAAGTAGGCCAAAAAGCATCCTTGCTCATTAATCCTATAAAGCTTGCAAAATAAATTGGTGGATGGATGGTTTATTATTGGAAGTGTTAAAAGAAAAAACATTTTCTGCCCTAATAAAATCTTGCAAACTACTTCTATGCTGAAGCTGAGAGAGAAGCAGGACCTCTGTACAGAGCTATAAAGCCAAGTTTTAACATCAGCTCTAACACCAACCCATCCTGTAGCTTTGGGCAGTCATGGCAACAATGTAGAGGTGTCTCCACTAGGGTTGCCAACTTTGCATGCCAATCTGGGCGTGCAAGGCTGGTGCCAGGCCTGATCCCAGCATGCAGTGGCCAGCTGAGGCTGCAGGGGCCCAATCTGGGCATGTGTATTTGGGTGGTGGCAGCATGAGGTCCAACCCTGGTGTGCAGGGCCTGATCCAGCCCATGGACTGACCCCATGCCACTCATCTGGCCTGCAGGGACGAAAGACTGAGTACCACTGCTGTAAGATTTTGAGAGCAGGACTTGGTGGGGTGTGTCCCTAAAAGTATTAAATAGTTATACAGAAACTGAGAACAGCCATGTTCGTAATTGGGGCAGATCCGGGGGAAGAGAGGGATGCACTGGTGCACTTGTACCCCACCTTGATTCCTGTTCCACCTCAAGTTTAAAACCAACAGTCTGACAGAGGCAGCAGCATTTCTATTAAGACAGCAGAGAGTGTGTCAATTGACACTATGGCTCATTAAAATCTATATGATTCCTTCAAAACTCTTCATTCCACAAATGTTAGGGACCCTCTCTTCTTTTTAATGGTCTTGACATTAAAGACTATTTAATGGTCTTGACCCTCTCTCCTTTTATATCGTCTTAGGTTTCCTTGTACCTGCAGATCCCCCACCAGGTCATCCCCTGTAGCCAGCACCACGTCCAGCAAAGCATTCCCCCTAGTGGGATCGTATACCTTCTGCATTAGGCGGAGGTCCTATTTGTAGGTTAAGAACATACATAAGCAGTAGGTTCTGGCTGACTGATCCTCCCAGCTGATGTCAGGGTAGTTTAGGTCACCCACAACAACCATATCTCTTGACCGTATGGCCTCTGACAGCTGCCCAGAGAATTCCAGGTCTAGCTTACCCTCCTGGTGTGGCAGTCTATAGTAGAAACTATAGTAGTAGCCAAGGTGGGGGTTTAAACCTTTCCTCAGGCTTACTTAGTCCTGCCGGGACCTCACCATGCTCCCCCTCAGCTCAGCTTCCCTGTGGAAGGGAAAGGAGGGCTGCTCTAATGCCCCAGGGCTTCTGGTCTGAGCTGCTGCATACATGTGCCTGCATTTCTGGAATGAAAAGGGAATGTCTATCCAGCTGCAAAATGGGTCAGTCTCTTCAGGTTAGACTGACCTGCAAAGATTTAATCAGTCCAGGCTTGGGGTTTTGAATGTCTGTCCCTAGCCCAGATGAAGGATTGATCACCAGTTTAAAACACACACACACACATGCACGCAACCGCACACGCCTCCAAAAAGCAAATTAGAAACAGATTACATATATCCCTCTCTTTCTCTCTCTAAACTATAAGCAATGGTCCCAGGGGTGAAGGTCAGGAAGAAAGTTTAGCGTACAGCAAGTATTCTGTCAAGATTCTGTGGTTCAATGAAATGTTAGGTTTTGTTGAACTGTTGTCCAACACAAATATCTATTTTGTAAAAATGCCCAGCACAGGGACAGTGTTTTATGGATATTAACTAATTATTGTAAGCTCATCAGGGCACTGGACTGTATTTGTTTGTAACAAACATAAATACTATATTTTCTCACAAAGAACTTGCACTCTTCCCCCCAGAACCAGCTGGAAAAAATTGGAGTGAGCATTATATGCGAGTAAAAGAGTTTGGAAATTTGAGGGTGGGGCAGAACAATGGCAGTACTAATTGTGCAGCTCTGGCAACCACAGCAATTAATACTGTCACCACTCCCTTCCTTCCCTGCTCTACACCACAAATTTACAGATACCTGGGGTAACCCCTTCTTCCCAACCTTGTGCCAGATCAGGGTGGTGTGCAAGGTTGGTCTGTGGCCACAGTGCAGGGTTGGGCCCTACCCACAGCCCTGGATCCAGCACATGGCTTCAGAGCCAGTGAATAGGGTTGGACCTGTAATGTAGCTGGAGCTAGCATGTCAGATTGGGCCCCAGTGTGCAGTCCCCAGCTCTCACACACACCCTCCAGCCCCCATCCCAATGCATGGCTG